GGACCCGTAGTTTAACGTCGTTGCGGACAACTAGAATCGCATACCTGTAAGGACATGTAGTTTACTACGCTTGATTTTGTTTCAACCGTTTTATACCAAATTATCAATAATTATACACCATTCGATGTAGTTTGTTACGCTGATTCCAAATATGGTCTTTTTATTCGATTTTGAACGAATCTAGACTGAAAAAATAGAAAATATGCTGAAAAACCGAGGGTTTTTGGAAATCTTACTACACCTTCCAGAAGCGTCGGCGCTAATTGGCGCTAAATGAGTATATTCAGTACATATTGGTGCACATTCTCTAAAAGCTTAAACCACTTTGAAGGCTGAATGTGACTGGTGCACGCATTTTACTGAACATACCTCTATGGAAAACTCGCTAGAAAAATGTAAAACTGTTTTTCTCCGGCTTAAGAAGTCAGAAAATAAAAAGATTTTTTAGCAATCGATAGAGGGCTGGACACAGATTCCGAATATGTATTTGCTTTTCCAAAGACTTACCTTGATTTGGCATGTAATCCAGTTTCCCAACAGAACCAGTGTTTTCAGCCAAATTTTACCTCAGCGATTTTCCTGTGAAGAATGGACTTTAGAGAAAAACGTCCAATGGCAAAGTGATAGAGCATATGCTGAAATATATAACCTGCTATTCGAATCTCGAAAAATATTACTTTCGTTTTTCCACCTAATGTCCACGTGGTTCCACACTGTGCCCCGTTTACCTAAAACCGAGTACAAATAACTGCATATCCGCAACATTTTGAAAAGGCAAATACAGGGATTTGTAGCCCTTAGAAATCTTTCTCGAATGACATATTACTTTACCGTTTCCAATAAACCGTTAATTTGCAAATAAAAGTGTAAGGCACCAGAGTGGTATTAATTAGTATTCATTGGCATTCATCAATTATAAATTATTGTCAAATTTTTTAAAACTTTTTTCATCAAATAACAACAACAGACCATTGGCTGACTTTTCTAGGGTTATTTTTGACTGAGCTACAAGCCTTTTAAAATGAGAACAAGGATCGTAAATTTTAATTAAAATTTAAACTTAATTAATTAATAACTCTATAAATAGTTATCAGTTTACAATCATAAATAATAATATTAGATTTTAACTTATTTATAAATGATAACCTTAATATTTTTATATTAGAAAAATGTTTAAGTAAAATTGATAAATTATTATAATTATTTTCATATATTTCAATGATATTTAATTCAGAAATATGGTTAAAATAATGTTGATATAAACTCTTATGAGTTATTTTATCAATATTTGGACTTGAAAATATATCATATATATAGATTTTAAATTATTTTCTAGTTGAAAGTATCTACATTCTGGTGCTGTAAACCGCAATAGTTATCTTTGATTCAAAAGTTACTTAAAAAGATTGACACATGTCTTCTCATTGAAAAAGTTTGTATTAAAAAAGTTCATTTTCAAGAAAACCCATATATATACTCTCTTCCCGTTTATCACACATATACAATTTTATTTAAAAGAATTAGTATAGCAAAAAGTACACAAATAATAGAAAAACTAATAATTTATGATAACATTAACCAATAGGCTTTAAAGGAAACAGAGTATAATGAACAAAATAAGAAGAAATATGTACAAAGTACATATAAGAAAGTAGAGTCATGATTATGATTCGTTGTCTATAACTTTCAGGGTTTCGATTAGTTTATTTCTTGTTGAAATTGTTTGAAATGTTCGTGACGGAGACAGGGTGGTACTATACGTTGTGCTAATTTATAATATGAATGTATTAATTAATATGCGAAATATTCCATCTGATGTTACTGATATACAACAATGTTTCCTGAGAATTTGTCACATAATTGCATCATTGTAATCAATAGAAAATAGCACTAATGAACTTTTAATGCTCTTTTGATAAAAATTTTATCAAAAGAGCATTAAAAGTTTAAGTATTAGCAAATTTAAATATTTTATCATAAAATATTTAAATTTGCTAATACGATAAGGATCAGATAAATTACGTTAATAATGTAAAGTAGCTTTCTTCCAGTAAAAGTTAAATTTTCTTCTCTTCAATAATGGTTGCGAGAGCCTGAATAAGAGTTTCTTTAACATTATTTTGTTGCAATTCTTTATCGAAAATGTCTAGAAAAAGAAAAAGATGATAAAAATGTAACATGTCTCCGTCTCAAAGCTTTTACTTCGTTTTTATATTTCACAGACAAAGTCTTTAACCAAAGGAGGAGTTTCAGAAGCTACGTTCTGTTTTGTTCCAACAATGAGAAAAAAAGGGAAAGCGCAGAGAATGTCAATACAAAATAGTTTTACGTTCTATATCAATTTCAAAGGAAAAGGATAAAATTTAGAAGGGCTTTAAGTTTTTGAACTTAGGGAAAAGGTAAATTCTGCATATACCGGATTTCTCTTTGACAAGTTGTATTCACAACGAAATTTCCAGAGTATAATAAGAAAATTAAACCTACCGTTAGATCATTTAGAATATTTTTTAGCCATAAATCTAACATAAACAATTGCTTTACTATTATTTGTGTACCTGAAGCGAATTTTAAGAAAAAACAAATTACATTTCTAAGCTTTCCTTTTCCTTTTCATGTGGATCTAATTCCCTCTCACCAAGTCTAATTCTTCGTCGGAAAAAGTTCGCTATTTTGACGTCTTTCAGATGTGCGAATCTGCCGGGAAAAGTTGAACGTCCTAGCAAATCGAGGTTAAGTGTCGTGACTAGATTTCGTGAAGTCAAAAGTGAGCTCTGTGTGCGACACAGTTTAACAGCAGCTTCAGCTTGCTTTGACAATCCTAAGACTTTCCCTTTATTTACCTTCAGTTTAATCATATCATCAACCAAATATGAGATGACGATAGTCATACAATAATTCAAATTTGCGTATCATTAATTATAATTCATGATTCCAAATTGTTGTAATATGACGAAAACTTGTTTTAAATCCGTTAAGATTTCTCAATAATTTCAAAACGTATTCAATTTTTTTCAAATTTCCGTTTAAAATGATTTTTTTCATTTTAGCCATATAAAAACCAGCACATATGCAGTTTTGATTTAAATCAATTTCAAAAAACACAATATCTGTTTCGTTGACTCGAAGATCCATCAAAATTCTCTGTAGCTGAACGTTGAAAGCAATATCGAGGCCGGAAGTAATATAATTGACAATATTGGAACCAACGTCATTCAAACATATCGAATTTATATATTGTATGTCATTCGGAATTAAACTTCTTTCATTTATTGGCAACATATATTGTATCGATTGTAGCTCTCTAAAACCCATTTGTATTCTTTCGTTTGTTTTTTCAGAATCATCTGATGTTCCACCTAGAATAATTAGTTTTTCTGCAGAATAATTTCTTAATCTTTTTATTTTCAAGTCATCGTCGATTCTTTGAATTATTTGTTCACATGATATTTGATTATGATAAGCCAAAGGACTGGAAAAATTGACTGAGCAATAATCAACATTCCAATGTACGAGCATACAACGAGTATCATTCGGCGAATCTTCATTCTTTAATAAGAAGACTAACCCAACGCATGTATTTAAAGCAGTTGTGCCGATGAAATCAGTTTTAATTCCACTGTGGCCGGGACGAATGTTCAAGATATCACTTCTGCCAAACGCTGTTATTGGTGCATCGCCACCTTCACATTTAACGTGGTTCATTACTAAAAAAGCCTACAAAACAAGTAAAAATAGAAAAAAATTACTTCCAAGAAGTAAAATACACAAACAACGTTAGTCTTGGATTCTAGGTCTCGATACCGTGGATGTTCGTGTGTTCTAGAGATTGATTCTTATATAAGGATCAAGTTACAATCTTATAAGATACCTAAAACGTGCAAATCCATCAGTTCTTTTACGAAGTTTTCACTCTGACATTCTTACTTAACACAGCGCACACTGCGGGCGCGGACTACATATGTGAGCGATTTGCGCTGCCATTGTACCGTTCATATCCGACATGTAAAAAAGCTATAACTTTTTTGTTAGTGAATGAATCTTAGCGAAATTTTTATATGTTATTTATCTAAACTATGCTCACTACCAC